TTGTTATAATTGTTATTTATTATTGTTTTATATATTTTGTTATTTATTGTTGTTAATCTCTTACTGTGCCTAATTTATAAATTAAACATTATTATAGGTATGTATGTATAAGAAAAAACAATATTTGTAGGGTTTGGTACTATCTGTGGTTTCAGACATCTATTGGAGGTCTTGGAATGTATCCCACTTGAACATGGGGAGGTCTATTGTAAAGATGGAAATTGAAACAGCTCTGACGCAGACATCTGTAGCATATCCAATATCTACTACTCCCTGCTTTCTTGCTAACTAAATTCTGATCCTTGCTCAGGAATCTACTTCTCAGGGAAGGTGACCTTAACCCCATTTTAAAAGCATACCAGGATTAGTCTAAGCCAATTATTGTAATCTCATTCGTTTGGCCAGTGACTGGCTTAAGGGTGGGCATGTGGCCTCCTGGCCAATAAAACGTGAAGGAAGTTAGCTAAGGGACCAGGGGAGGAGTTTGGGGGAAAACTTTCTTTATACAGTACTTAAGAAAGAGATACTAGAGCAGTTTTATCTCTTCTCTTCCTCTGAATATAGTCGAGCAAAAGTATTGGGTCGTCCAAAAAGTCATGACGCATTTTTGCATTGAAAAACATGGAAAAATGTGTCATGACTTTCCCGACGACCCAATACCTCAGGTGCTCTGATGCTCCACTTATATTTTTGAATTTCCCTGTCTCAAGGAATTTAACCTTTAGGCAGTTCTCTCACTATTTTGTCAGCTCTTTGTTGATTTTAAAATGATTTTTTTTAAAAAAATTATTCAGCAATTTTTTAGAAATTTCAGTCAGCATAGCCTAATCTGTCATTACCAAAAATGGAAGTGTCTTCTTACATTTGTTTCTAAAATTAAATAAGATTGATTTATTTTGATAATTTTTATATATCATATTTACAATCTTCTTTATAACAATTATTTTTCTACTGCATAGCTAGACTGTCTAGCTCTGTGCTATTTAATACAGTTGCCACTAGCCAAATGTGGCTATTCAAATTTAAGTTAATTAAACTTAAAAATTCTGTTCTTTAGTTTTACTAGCCACATTTTAAGTGCTCAATAGCTAATTTGGCTAGTGACTACCAAGCTGAACAGTGCACATATAAAATATTTCCATTATTGAAGAAAGTTCTCTTGGACAGCACTAGGCTAGATTATGTGTTTTGAAAGTTTAAACTTTCACATATTAGATTACATTTTAAAACGCCCCGGCTTACGCAACTTATGCTCAGACAGTTTTATTAACTTGGATAACATGAAAATAAATTTCAGTGTGGTAAATGAATTGCCTCAAATTCTGAACTAGTAAAGTCAAGTTTAACGGGAAAAAAAGTTAATTATGTGTATATCCATGACATAGTCATGTTAACTATATCTCTTTTATCATTTGCTAAAAGCTGAAACAGAAAAAGATAGTAATAGAAATGTGAACACACCAATAGCAAGCTCTACAATTCGAGCATCTAAAATATAATTGAAAACATTGTGCAACAATCCTGCAATGGCTGGCATGTGTTCTTTTTTCTTTCTTTCTTTTTCTGTTACCTATCGCACATTACTCACATTATATAGTACCTATGTTATTCGCAACAAAGTGTGTGCCTACCCCAGCAATTCTGTAACAATGGAAACTGACATGGGAATTGAGAGGTAGGTTTGGCGTTCTCACTCCCACCTAACACAGTGTGATACACAGTAAGTATTCAATTCTTCTACCCTTGTCTACAAGTTTTCTTCTGAGGTTCATGTTAGTTATCAAATCATTATCCAGCTTCACCAGTGCTTCCTACCAACTTCACGATGGTCATTTCCCCTCATTTATTAAAGGGTTTGATACCTGGTTCATAGTTCCACCATACACTCCAAGCCCTAACATCACCGAGTGACTTCAGCATCCACATGGAAGACTCCCCAAACTACCTAGCCTTTTCCTCCGTCAAGGTTAGACATGTACTATCATGACCACACTCCAGATCTGTCATCAAGAACAGGCTCACGTCTTACATTTTAAATTCAAACACATTCCATTCTCTGATCCCTCCCTGTTATCTCCTTCACTCTGCTTTTCCTACAACATTGGTTCTTCGATTTTTATGGATTTTTTTTAAAGTTAGGTCCTTAACTTTCTCCTGTTGGCCCATTTAACACTCCACTGTCATTCCTAATACAGAACGCATGGCTCAGCACTTCAATTGTTCTCACCAGTATCCTTACATTCTTCTTGACTTGATTGTTGTTCTGTTGTTGTACTGTTGCCTATCTCTAATCCATTCTCATCTAAAGCATAAATCTGGGGCTAAATGTTTCAATGGTTTCTTCAAGCCTCAAGGTACAGATTATGCTCTTTAACCTCCAGCCCTTGCACTTAATTTTCCTTCTGCCTAGAATGCTCATATTTTCACTTTCTTCTTTTCTGTTCAGCTTCTATTTGCCCTTCAGATCTTTAGCTTCCTATGGGAAGTAATTCCTAAATCCCTAATTAGGCTATGTGCCACTTCTATACTTTTATAGCATCTCATACTTGTTCTATCATATCGTATCACTTATCACTCTGTATTATAATTTTCTGCACGTAAGTGATTTCCCAGGAAATTATAAGATCTTTGAGGGCAGAGATTGCTTTGTTTACTCTAGCACAGTCTGATATTCACAAGGCACTCAACTATTGGTTGAATGAATGAAAAAATAATGCTAGTAACTTAAAATAATCATTGTAATTGAAGCTACGTTTAATTACTTCAAGACGCAAATTTAACAGGATTAAATGTGATAAATAAGCTAGAGAGTGTGTTAGGTGATAGAACAGGGTGAGGAAGATTAGGAGTCCCAGGGCAGTAGGGAGCAAGAGGAGTTGCGATTTTAAATACGGTATTCAGGCTAGATGTCATTGAGAAGTAAGTAAAGGTTGCGTAAACCTTTGAAGTAAAGGTGAAGTAAGAGAGTTAGCATGCAGATACTTAGCGGGGCACAGCATACAAGGTGAAAGGAAGAGACAATGTAAAAGCTGTAAGTTGGGAGCATGTCCGCCATATACAAAGGAAGGAGGCTGGAGCAGAAGGAATGAGGAGGAAATAGAAAGAGATTAATTCAGAGAAGTAATGGAAGGCCAGAGGGTGTATGCTTTGTAGGCTTTTGTAGGACTTCGGATTTAAGTAAAAATGGGGAGCTATTGAAGGGTTTTGAGAAAAGGATACAATCTGATTCACTCTGCCTCCTTTATGAAGGACTGTAGGGGAGCAAAAATAGCATGGGGAAATCCACTAAAAAGGTTACTTAGAGTAATCCAGTAAAAAAGTGGTAGCAGTGGAGGCAGTGAGAAGTAGTCAGATCTCTGATATATTTTGAAGGTAAAGTCAAAATATATTTTGACTTCTGAGGAATGGATATAGGCTGTGAGACAGGGAAAGGAATCAAAAATAACTTGAGGGTTTGGGGCTTGGGCCAGACAGAATTGACATCAGAGATGGGAAAAACTGCTGGGAGAACAGGTTTGTGGAAATGTTTTAGAGATAACATTTGGGCATGTTTAAACATTAGATGTCTACTAAAAGTTCAATCAGTAATAAGATATGAGTTTAAAATCCATTGAAGAAGTCTTGGTTGACAATATACATTTGGGGCTCCAATGACATATGGGTGATATAAAAAGCAATGAAAATTGATGAGATCATCAAGGAAATGAGTATCGGTAGGGCAGAGAAAAAGGCCAAGGACTTAGTACTGGATACTCTCAGATTAAGATGTCAGAGAAAAGAGTAGGAATGAGCAAAGGAGAATGAGAAAGAATAGTAGTAAAATAAAAAGACGACCAAGAAGCTGTATTGTCATGGAAGCCTAGTGAAGAGGAAGCTGGATACATGCTCAGAACTGACCACTGGATTTAGCAACATGGAAGTCGCCTGTGATGGGGCAAGATCATTTTCAGTAGAATGATGGAGGCTAAAACTTGACAGGATCGATGTTAAGAAAAAAATGAGTAGAGGAATTAGATATAGTAAGTACAGATATCTCTTTGGAGGGCTTTTGTTTCAAAGGAAGAAAAAAACATGGAAAAATAACTGGCAGGTTTTTGTTTTTTCAAGATAGGAGAAGTCACAACATGTTTGTATGATCATGAAAAAATCCAGAGGATGTTGGAAAAATCATCTACATACCTATGGAATAACCAAGGTGAGAGGGTTGGAGAGCATGAGAGTGAAGATAGTGGGTAACAATAATCTGATGACATGAAATTAAAAGCTGTGGTTTTTAGATAGGATGGAGGAAGAATTATCTGGAAGGAGTAATGAGATATAAAAAAGATAGGCAATCCACTTTCAGGCCCAGTCATTCAAGGGCTAAGGGAGACAACACAAGCCCCCAACTTCAAAGAGCTACAGAGGAATCAGTATCTTCAGAGGAGAGCCAGTTTCCATTAGAACAAGAAGGTGAAGGGAAGGGAAATTCAGAGAGGTCAGGATAGAAGAGGTTCTGCTGATGATGGATCATAAATTCCTGAGGACACCGAAGAGTTTTAGCAGCTGCACAGGGACAGGAAACAGAAAAAGGGATGCACAGAGCTCCATGGGGCTGGATGGCAGAGATGAGAATGATGGGGGAGTCTGGGGCTTCTTCCAGTGGCAAACATAATATGGGATAGAGAGCACAGTAAGATATTCGTGGTGGACTCAAGAAAGATAATGATGGCAAAGTCGTGAGTGTTTGGAGGACCAGAGCAGTTTAAATGGTGTGTAGCTCTCCCTTAATTCCTGCTGGGGGAGAGTGTATTTTCTCCTAGTGCTGGAGCTTTCTCTTGACTCTTGTTGATGGAATGGATGGACTTGAAGCCAGTTCTCTTCATTACTAACAATTATAAAAACTTATGTGACCATCACACACATGCATTTCTGATAAAATAGCTTACAATAAAAAAAAAGTTCCCTACTCTGAGTGAAATGTAAGCTAATTTTTCATAGCAGAGTTTGGTTTTACTTACATCTGTGTTACAGGAGCGATACCGTTTCCTTTCCCCAAGGCAATATTTTCCACCTCCTGAAGGTCTGAAAACACATTTTGTGTAACATGTGAATATAACATATCTATCCGCATAGAGAGTACATATATTGCTTAATGAAAACATAGTAACATTTACTTTAAGAAAATACAAAATTTGACATTTTATTAGTTATTAAAATAATCATGCTGGTGATGGTTAGCAATAATGATTCTGATTGTTTAATTTAAAATTAAGGCAATTTACTATGAGTAACTTTATAAGACTCTTGCCATGATTTACATTCTTAAGAAAGTGCAATTAAATCAATATATCTTCTAATTATCATAGTAAACAGGTGATCAGTTCAATGAGAGTTTTAAAATCACTTATTTATAATGAAAACTATTTTGAATCATATTCAACAAAACCCATAATCTGATGCTATATGTTTACCAAGTAGGAAATGGAAAGTTTGCTTTTTCCAGAAACAAGGAGAGGACACTAAATAACTCTCTGGAAATAGCTTCAGTTTAAAGTAATTAATGCAGAAAAGAATTTGCACTTCATTTCAAACATATGGTTTTAAAAATTAAATCTAAACATCAGATGGGTTTGTATTACATCAATACTTTATATTATACTCAAATTAATGAAAAAGTGAGATGTCAACTATTTGATTTACATAAATTAAATTTTGAAGTACTTAACAGTAGGGAAAGCCATATGTTACTATTTGAATGCTATTTTTGAATGGAGAAAACTAACTTGTACTTTTAAAAGAGGTCTGGTCATTCTTTTAAGTATCTTAAGTATTTGGTTATTAATTTACAGTAAGTAGCCTGCATTGGAACTTAGATTAATTATTCTGTACTTGTTTAAAAAAGATTGTCTAAGTTATAATTTTGGCTCACTGGTATCAATGAGGTAATTAAAGTTACAATTTTGAATATATTTTTAATGCCAGGGAATGGCGGCTCTAAGCAAAGAAAAGAAATGGCCCAGCTTGAGCCAGCTTGGGAGAAATGGGTTGGTCAGACAAAAACCAGGTGGTGGGGATGGTGGTAACATGTCTAGTTTATGAGTGGGTTAACAGTGAGCTCTGTTTAGCAGGAGGGCAATAATCAATAGAAAGTAGGAGAATGGAAACACACAACTAATATAAAGGGAAACAGTTTCAAGCTAAAAAGAGAAAGAGGAAAGGAAAACCATTTAGAGAGGAAGCAAAGAGAGGGATCCTGAGTTAAATGGAGAGAAAAAAAAATAAAGGGCCATCTTTTACCCCAGAAAGGTGAAAGTGGGGTAGGAAGCAGAAGTGATATCATAACATCATTCTGTACCAAATTATTTATTGGCAAAGAAGGCCCTCAATCCGAACTCTAGACGAAAATGCAAGCACTTCCAGCTGCTAAGGAGCAGTTTAGCCTCTGGAAGGGCAGGAAAGACTGGCCAGAGGAACAGTCCACCTGTAGTGGGCACCGGTGGAAGGGAGAAGCAATACAGCTGGTGAAGAATACTGATGGGGCTAGCCTTACTCCAGGGGGGCTCTGGCTGGAGAAAAAGAGGGGTGGGAGAGGAGCAGTCTGACCTGCATAAAGCCCTCATGGGGAGAAAAGTGGTGGCAACTCCGGAAAATGATTAATGGGGGCATGTGAATGGAAACTATTTTAACACATGGGCAGTATTCTTTTCATTGTGATTTGTGATGCGAATCAAGGCGGTTCAGCCCTTGAAGTGCTCTCATTGGTCCTTTTAATACTAATGTAGCAGTAATAATTTTATGTGACATGTGCAAAGACTTTAGGTTTCCTGGGAATAATGGGAGTGTAGCTAAGACCAGACCCAATTCATCCATAATTCAGTAGTTTTTGGAGGAGGAAATCTATCTGATTATGACTAGATTAAAAAGTCTGGCTACACCTGGGATAGATACACAATGCTTTTCTTTTTTCTTTTTCTTTTATTTTTAGTTACATAGTAATAAGGGGCAGGGAAGAAAAGGAAAGTCTGTCTAACAAGAGTCCTACTTTCCTGTGCCTAGTGCTTGTTCTGAAGACAAGCACTTGGCTCGCTAGTGAAACGTTTTTACAGATAACATGTGAAACCACAGCTTTGAATCATTTCCAACTGTGTCTTTTTGTTGGCTCCGGCTTACTTTAGCTACTTACGCTGGACTGTCACAGTGTCTTAGGGACGAGGAGACGCCTCCCCCGCAGGTCCTGCTGCACTCGCCCCATAGTGACCAGGCACCCCAGCCCCCATCTACGCTCTGGGGCCAAGTGCCAAAAGGAACACAATCTCCCTGATAACACCACTGCAAGATTTCACAGAAAACACAGAATTAGCTTTCAGGCAGATAGACCTATCAGGATAGACATACATAAGGGTCAGGCAATGACCAATTATAGGCATTAGCATTCTCCCAATAGATAACAGGCTGAGAGTTCTTTAACTGTGTTTAGACATCGGTGAAGGTGCACGTGATTTGCAAATTATCTTTTAGCTAGGCAATGATTTATAAGTCTCTGACATGTCCCAGAAGTCTAAAAAACTTGACTTGACTTCTTTTTTCCTTATTTCTCCTACTCCAGACTTTTAGTGTTTCTCATTATAGAGACCTCAAAAGTCTTTTTTAGATATTTTAGCATTAAAAGTTTTTTTCTTTATATTCCACTATTATTAGACTCATGGAATGATAACGCAATATGGAAAGTTCCCCAGTAAGGAATTTTTATGATGGTAATTGCTTTTTCTTTAAAAAAAAAAAAAAAAACGGCAAAAAAATAAAAAGGCCGGTTGAGGTTACAATAGTAAAAGAATGTGTTGTGGCATTTCATCTACATGAGTACTGCAGACATAATAAAAGTAATGCCAAGACACTAGGGATTGGGTACAAAAAAACCCTTATATACACTGACTAGCCATGTGTATAGCCCCTACATGAACATGTGTCCTGGAATTCTTCTCAGCTTTACCCTCAGCAATAAACCACACATACTGCACGTAAGTAAAAAGCCAGGAATAATTTATCGAGACGCAGACATCAAATAATCAGCTCATAACTCTAACATGATAAATCTTACTTGCAGAATACGGTAAAAATGAACCCCCCCTTTTTTTAAAAAAAGCAAGCATTTCTAGGCTTTTATTGATGCATTTTTTGTGAATTATAATCAAATGTTGACAAACCATACTGATGCTATGAAAGTCACTTGCTTATATAAATAACAATAGACAACATTATTAGAGTTGAATAACGGTCAGCAATGTTAGATTGTTAAATACAAATTTACCTCATATTAAAAAATAAAGGGATTAAGACATATAATGCTTAGAAAGTAATCAGTTTATTATACTAATTGTATATACCCAGAATTATTTCACTTTTCATCTTTTTCACTGCTACCACCCTAGACCAAACTGGCAAAGGAAATAGTTTCTTACCTGGTCTCCCTGCCTCCACTTTTTTCTATCTATAATCAATCATTCTCCAGTAAGCATTCAGAAAGATCTTTTAAAAACAAATTAGTACATGTCTCTATTTTTGCTTAAAAAACTGTGATGGTTTCCTACTTCCCTTAAATCAGTGGCCTTTGGGATCTAGTCCCTGTCTCCTTCTCTCTCTCTCTCTCTCCCTCTCTCTCTCTCTCTCTCTCTCTCTCTCTCTCACACACACACACACACACACACACACACACACAGATTGCTCCAGACACACTGGGCTTCTTTCTCTTCCTCAGTACACTAAGCTTTCCCTGCATAGGGCACATGTTTGCTGGTTCTTCTGGGAATACTCTTCTCACAATTCCTTATATTGCTGTGCTCTCATCATTCAGTTTCACGTCAAGTGTCATTTCAACAGCGAGGTCTTTCCTTGACCACCCTTATTCTGAAGCAGTAAATCTCACCAAGCCCCCTATTCTCCCCTCGCTCCACTCCAGGATGACACAGTGATTACATCTTCCTGGTTTAGTTCCCTCTTTCTACTTCAAACTACTTTCAATTACCCGGTTTATTTTTCAAATTACTTCATAGTCTCCTCTCGTTGGTATGGAAAAGCCTTGAGAGCCACATGTGCCTATTCTCTTTTAAATTGATAGAAAATAAAAATTCAGTTCCTTAGACCCACTAGCTACATTTCTAGGGCTTCATAACCACATGTACCTAGTGGCTATTTTGGACAGAGCAGATCTAGCACATTTCTATCATCACAGAATGTTCTATTGGAAATGCTAAATGTCTAGAACAATGCCTAGCATGTAGTAGATAAACAACAAAAATTTATTGAATGAAAGAATATACGAGTTAAATCTTAAAATTCTGTGTCCTGTTTTGGTTCCCACATGTCAGGAAGGAACTGGAAACACTGGAGGGTAAATCAAGTCAAATTCATCTTTGTTTCCCTGGTAGTTGGCACTCAGTGAACGTTTGAGTGGTTGTAACATAAAAGACTTTTTAGGGAAGTGCTGTCCATAAAAAATTAGGCAAGAAGAAGTCAAAATTTGGTTGGCTATCAAGTAGAACATTCTGACCCTTAATCTAATAAATATTTATGTAGGCCATTAAGATTATGAGGTTTGACAATGAAAATTACCATGAAAGAAATCATCTGTCCAAAATGATGAAACAGAGGTTATTGGCTGAACCAATAATACATTATCAACTCTGCAAGTAGGGCTGCTGATAACGTACACTTGAGAGGGAGAGAATGTTCCAGATGCCAGCTTATGACTTACCTAATCGACCATGAAGACCAACTATGTATACCGATTGTGTCAGCCCTTCACCTGTATAAAAGGCACAACATTGGGCCAACTAATCTCCTTTTTATATTTTTGTTAATAGAAGTACCTATGTGTAAGAATATTTATTCCTGGATCTATTTTCCTATGAGAATAACTGAGTCATGCTATATTGATCACCAATTACTCATTGTTTTCCATGGTTTCCACTAATGAATGACAACACTTAAAAAAATTCCAAATCTTAAAATTTGCCTACTTTTTTCAAGTTGGAAATTTAGCATTATTGATTTCAAATAACATTAAAGCTTGATTTTACATTTTATGAAATCAGAGAGCTGAATCTAAAGCTCAAAGGGACTTTAGCATTCATGTGGTCTAAGCAATTCATTTTTCAGATGAGGAAACCATTGCTTGAAGAAGGGTGACTTGCCTAAGATCACTTACTGGCAGAAAAGGGATTATCTGTGCAAAAATGCATGAAAATCAGCAAAAAAAATTCAAATGGAGGTATAGAATTATATATCTGCAGACATTAAAGAATAATATACTCTACCATTTTTACTACATAAAATACAAGCTAACACTAAAAAAAAAAAAAAAACCAATCCACTTAGCTGCAACTGTACACCCACATATTATCTCCTTGAGTAATCATAAGTGGGAGAGAAAATAATTCACTCTTTCCATTTTTCAGAAGACAAAGGAATTGTGAAGGCTGTAGGTTCCAAAGTATTTAATAATATTGTGATACATATTTCCTGGAGTCTCACAAAGTAATGGACAGGGGAAAAAGTCAAATAAATTCTCTTGTTTTCCTTTTAAAATGTATTCTTAAGGTAAAAGATAAATGCTATATTCAATTTGCAAAATGTTGCTCAGCTCTCATCATTACTTAACATCTACACAGCAGTAGTCTTTCATAACTGCTTTGCTAGAATCTTTCATTACTGTATAAATTCACACTATTTATTGTATCTATTCCATGGAGTTATAGCATAATAGATATTTATACCAGAAAGTTAAACAACAAAGATAAATAGGTAAAAAATGAAGAATTCATAGTAATAAAATAATTATCATTAATCTAGCAGTTAACAAGACACCAATGTCTAATTTAACAACTAATTAACACTTAGTTAACTAGTTAACAAGCTAGCAACTTCAGTCTGTGTAGTCAGTATTACAAACCTGAGTTCTCATTCTAACAATATCTTTAGTCCAAAGTAAGTCATTTATTCTTTACTTTAGTTTCCCTAAATATAAAATGAGGACTAACTTTAGTTTTCGATTCCAATATGATTTGGATTAGGAGAACTTTAGAAATTATTTCTATGCAGACATACCTTCAAAGAAGTTAAAATCTGTCAAAGGACTTGTCTGATTTTGATCTCTGGCATAATGTTGTTTTGTGTTTTGTTTAACATCCCCCCACTTTGTATTTATAGAAAAGGACCTCTTTGGAATTCTTACTACTTTCCTCCTCTGGTAGTAGTCTTTTGATGTAGCACATGGTTTTAAGAGAAGACACTTATTTAACTTAATACATGCTTTGAGAAATCCATAGGGGACTTCATGTGGATCAAGTTTTTGAATTAATTTTCTGGGTGATTACATGAATCAATAAGTACTGGTTTTAATGTAAGTCATAAGTAATATGATTAGATTACACCAAATAAAGCAACTTGAAGTAGATAAATCCTATAAGCACAAAAAGGTGAGAATTTTGAGTGTTCTATTTTCTATTTTTATCCTTCTTCTTTTTTTTTATTTTTTGCCTGAAGTTGCCAAACCTGTAAAAGCTTTATTTCCATAGGCATAAACTTACTTCCTTTCTTAAACTAGAAGAGTTAAATCTTCAATGGGAACCAGTTTCTAATATTTATGCTAAAAGGTTATATCTAATCAAATATATAATAATATATATAATAATATATAATAAAATATTCTAAGTATCACTCATGTTACTTCAGCCCAAATGATCCAGGTAGGTTGGATAAATTTGGCTTTTTTTTTTTTCTACTTCAAGCGTAATCAGACTCAGAAAGGTGCAACTATCACATTCTAAATATAAAGTCTTAGATTTTCATTTTTGCTTTTCATATTCATTCTAAATACAGCAAATATATTTTTAAAACTATCTAGAAAGACAATACATTCCAGTGAAGCTTTAAAAGTTTTCTTAAGAAACAATTATTAAACAACATCTTTTGCTATTAGACCACTAATTTTCATGATTTTCACATCAGGGCATTATCTTCAAGCAAAAAACATTCTAAATAAATTAAAAAAATCTAACTTTGAGAATTTGTCAGAATTCCAAATAAAAAATTTTCAAGATGAGTATACTTAAAAAAATTTTTTTTAATATTTAAAATATACATATTTTTTAACTAGAGTCATTTTAGGATGTGATTATGGTAAATCTTGTACCAGAGCCAGCACTGGGTACAGCCAGCATCTGGAATGAGAGACCTCTAAGTAAACCCTAAGATTTTAAAGGAAGTGATATTGGTGATTCAATATATAATAGAACACTCCTCCCAAGTCAGGAAAGCTGAAAGTTGGAGCACAGCACTATGAAAAGCCTTATCTTTCCACTGTGCAGGTGCAGGAATGCTGAAGCTTCTTTCAGCCCAAATTCTAAATCAGAACTTGTCATCCCATACTATTTAAATTTCAAGAGCAACTGGAAGAGCAATTCCTTCTTTAATTGCTGTGTTCATAGTTTGGGACCCAGTCAAGACATATTATATTCTACTCTAAGATCTAAGGCTGCAAATATTCTATTATACATACAGTACTTTAGAAGAGCATATAATAATCTTATTCTAGTCCAGCCCAATGTTTACCATGAAAAGATATTAGGAATCAATGTCATATATATATCCAAATGCTGGGCTACATCTCTAATTGGGTGTTGTGGAATCACTAAATCAATCTTTGGCAATAAACCAAGTATTTGAAACACTCTTTGTAGCCACCATCAGAGCTTACAAGGATTGGGTTTTGATTATCCTTAATATCCTGTTCAGTAACAATCCCAACACTGCTATCAAAGTTTTTACAGTCTAAATCTTTGTTTATTATTTCGTCAAATATGGCATCCCTCCGATTGTTGTCCAAAGTGCTATTGCTGATGCCATGTCTGAAGTTTGTTTGGCTTAAAGTTATATTGATTGATATGCAGGAGTATGACCCATGGACGCACAGTACCAACCAGCGCACTGTCTGGGCTCATCAAATGTCCTCCTTTGGTTAATGCTACTGTCCCTAAGCACACCCATTCAGACCATATGGTTCTTATTCAATCCTTGAATGGCTTATTCAGGCAAACAGCCAATGGCTGTAATAGCAATGTCAGACCCCCCAGGACTCACCCAAAGATCAGTTTTTAATTTTTTGGCCATATTTCTTACTCCATCTGCTAAATGTGCATGGAACAGTTCCCATGCTTACATGGAACATTTGTGGAACTGCGCCCTCGGGCAGGGATCCCATATCTTTTGCAGCCAGAGTTTGACGAGATCATTGTGGATCCAGTCCTCTGGATATGTCTATGCTATCACTTGAACAATACTTCTCCCCTGACCATTAAAAAAAAAAAAAGATTTGTTCAAAAAGCTATGAGCAGCTTTGGTTTTATCCTTCTGGCTAGACAGGATGTAGGTTCTTTCTTGACTCTTCTGATGAGAGTAGATTTGAAATTTAGAGTTAAGATCAGAAGTTGTGTATATTCCATTCATGTTTCTGAGACACAAACTCATGCTTACACTCTCTGATGCTTGTAAGCTGTCAGTTAAGACAGTTTGAAAAAAAATTTTCTGCCCACTATCACCTAAAGTTGGCAAATAATGATCAAAAGTAGTGATGATGCTCTAGTAATAAATACTATCACCTTTCCTTGGAGGAAGCCCATAAAAATATCCCTGAGATATTATCTCATTCCATCCTCACAATATCTCTATGAAAGATGTAGAAACAGGCTATCTCTCATTTTAAAGTGGAGATTCATTGTTTTGCCAATTGGAACACAATTGTGTATTCTTAGCTCAATGTTCTGTCCACAGTAAGTTCTTAGTGTGATTTCTGAGATAAACTGTTACAGGTAGATAAGTGAAAAATCCACTTAGCATTAAATGGTAAACTACCTTGTCACCATCTATCCAAAGCTCAGTGACTCACTTTATTCCTGTGACAATGAAAATTTGCTTTTTTTCTCTGCAAAATTTGCTTTTTATGTCTGTAAAACTTCCCATCTAAAGGTAAAGTAAAATCAGAAACAGTGTAGAGGGGCAAAGTTTTAAACTTTGGAATTAGAAAGACCTTGGCTGGAATCTCAGCTCTGCTATTAAATTGCTGTGTAATCTTTGACTTTCAAGTCTTACTTTCCTCATCTGTAAAATGGGTTTAAAACAGTACCCACCTCATACGATTTCTGTCAACACTCAACAGAACAAATAAGTGCCTGGCACAGTGTAAGTACTTTAAAAACATTAATTATCATCATATCATTATTGGTATTGCCAACTATTTTTAGATGACGAGAATATAGACCGGCCACACAAAGCTGACCGACCTCACCATTGAAATTCCACTTTAATTCTGTCACTAGCTCTTTGCATGGCTTTTTGATTTGAGTCAAAATTCTGAGCTCTGGTTTAATTTCCAGGTAGATATAGCCTTAGGTGGAAAATCTGCATTTGGCAACAATAAACACACATCTTCTTAAAAGTAATAATAATAATAATAACTGAAGTTAACCACAAAAATTCATAAATATATAGTATGACAAATGAAGTTAGTGAAAAATAAATTAAAGATAAATTCAGAACTGTTCAGCTCACATGTCTAATTCTTTGTACTTTTTTTCTCCTTAAAAATATAGGTTGATCTAGTTCTCTGGAAGACTATTCATTAATTCATAATTAATGATAGGAATACATTGAGGGTTTTCTCCTGGTGTGCTATTCTTTTTCATTCTAGGAGACTACATATGTGTTTGTATTCATTCATTCATTCATTCATTCATTCATTTAAAAATTTCTTAGTGCTATTCCTAAAGCAGGCTATTGAACTTCCATATCCCTGAAACAATGGCTAAGATTTGTTTTGTAGATTAATTTTAGATGGTGAAATCCAACATATTGACTTTATGAAACTAAACTCTAATGCTGTGTATATAGAAGACCTCTTGGTACACAAGCTTTGCTAAACTTACAAGGCTCTTAAATAGTTTTTCAATGAGTCCAGATGCGCTGTTGAGGTATGTCAGAAGTTGACAAGGGTCCAAAGACAGGGTTAAGGAGGCAGTCAAGGGGTTCTTCTAACCAGAGCATTTCTATTCATATCTATCTATATCTATATCTATATCTAATCAGAATTATGTAGACTTCATTTGAAGGAAGGGGTTAGGGATCAAAAAGTTGACAACCATTAAATAAATTAAATATGTGAATCTTTAGAAATCAAATATATTTTTGCCCATTTTGTTCACTTTCTCTTGTCTGTGCTTATTCTTATTTATGCTTACAAGAATTATATTTCCTCTCCATTTGTTTATCTATATTTAATTCAATACTGTTAACTTTACTATTATTGTCTTCTAAATATCACTCAAAATTGTCTGTAGTTTTCAAGAAATATGCCATCTCTATCATATATATGCACATAGCTATAAGATATACCATTTGAGGGTACTGTAATTAAGCACAAATGATAAGATATTAAATATGGGTGTATCGTGTATATGATTGCTGGGATTGAGCTGTTTTCTCAGATAGCCACTACTTCTGCTTTATTTACTTGGAGTGATTATATAATTTATAGATTGCTTTAGGAGAGCTCAGAGGTGTTTAAAAAAAATAAAATTGTATGCTTCAGGTTAAAATATAAAGTAAAATAAAAAGAGCCATCAGGCTTAGTGATGGTATTATTCCAAGCAAACAGAAACTGTGGCCCATGGATTAGATTACAAGAATGACGACCAATCGATGGCAAAAAAAAGCAGATTCTCACTGTGATTTTCCCCCCTTACAGTTGTGTATTTCTTCTAAGTACAGACTGATTTAAATTGCTACTTGTCGTTGACAAGAATTGTTGGTTCCAAAATAAACCTAGACTGTTGTTTCAAGAATGTGGTTCCTAATATTTTCTATTACTTCGGTGAAAAAAAAAAGAAGGAATTTTTGGTAGTGTGTGAAGGTCTCTGTATTTTTATTGGCTACTTACATAGTTTCAAAAAAAGATCCTTAATCCTTTAAAAATGACCCTATCAATTCATACATTTAGCATAATTTACCAACATTTCCAAACTCAGCATGGAAAAGCCATCAACATGGCACTAGGTCATGGGTCTTGAATGAAGCCGTCAGCAAGGATTAATAAACTGTGACAGCTTCCCAAAAGCTTTCATTCTTTTTATTTAAACATCAGATTGCAAGCTGAAATTCAGTGTAATCTTTGTTGAAACTAGCCCAACTAACATGGAAGAAGTCAGAACTGAGAATAGACAACAATAGTAGTTCTTATTGTAAATTCAGTCCACAGCAATAAATTCCAGAATTCACATACAGAGCGATTTCTAAAGAACTTCAGGAATAGCATAAACTATTCCTATCTGTTTCAACAATTTTTAATAATGATATTTTTGAAAACAAGACAGATGAAACTAAAATTGTTTAGCTCCAATTTCTATGCTCAATATATTGTTTAATTATTCTATTAGCCTTTTCTCTCATACTGCAATTTAAAGGTGACTCTAGTTAGACTGTAGGTATAAACTATTTTGGAATCACATAATTTTCCTGGGAATTATTTATCATAAAAATACAGACATATGACTAAGCAGACTATTATGTAAGCTTGTTGTTAGACATTTTCTGTACAACTATAACTCACACACATGCATACAGAAAGGTGAAACTGACCCAAATGAGTTACTCACTATAATTTCTTAAACAATGCATATTTGTAGATAACAAGATATGACAATTAACTCATTAGAATAGGAATTTATTATTTTCTCAAGTACATTTTAATTATTAATAGTGTGCATGCTATCCTAGTGGTTGACTATCAACACCAGAAATTTATCAAATAGCTAATAATTCTTTTGAGCTTACCCCTTTTTCAATATTCCCGGTTTGACAGAGTGTTCCCTCAGCTGCAGGAATACTGTTGGTGACACAGCGGTTGCTTTTGCTGAGACACCAGAGCTCTCTACACACTTCCTAGGAAAGAAGGCAAAAGCAAGTTGATCAGAAGTAAAGACTAAAATCATGTCCACTTTTCCATAAAATATACCCAGTCACTCAGTATTACTTTTCTCTTGCTGGTGCTGAAGCATCAAAGATGAGGATTTTGGAGAAGGCTCTTATAGAAAGTCGCTTACCCATTTTGCAGAACCATCTAAACATTTGTCTTTATAATTCTTATTTAGTGGATAAAGTATATCTTAGATTTTAATATTAAGATTTTTTAAAAATAATGTGCAGACATTTCATTAAAAAAGATGAGTAGAGAAAAAGAACGAATATGTAGAAAGGAAATATATGTTTATTGCTCTCAAGAATATACAATAATACAAACTCACCAATTATAAATAGAGTGTTGCCTGGTAGATGACTTCCTAGATCTACTGTAATATTCAAATAAGGACCATTCAAAGAAGAAAAAAGAGACCATAGGAATGGGCAGTGAGTAATTTGTAAAATTCAAAGATGCCTAAAGAACAATCTAGCAATGTTATTTGCAGTTCATCAACACAGCCCACCACCATAAAAAGGAAATTTGGTTTAAACAAATGCTGTTATTTATGTGCCATTTCCACAACTGACGTATCTCAGATGTTGTTTGGAGCTGTCTTGTCTTCTTTACTATGATTTCTTATTATCCTACTTCAGCATGGGAGACTTACAACATTTATTCTAGTATTGGCAATATAAAATACATTTTGTTCACACATTATCAGATTTTAAAATAAGCTGTCCAACATATCCTTGACTAAAGTGTTTTAAATAACAGCCAAAAAAAAGAGCTTACTTTGAAGAAATACTCAAAAATTTCAGTTTTGCTTTACATATGATCACCAACTAGCATCATTAGTAATATTACAAGTTTTTAATTTAAACTAGGACCACTTAGTATAAAACATATATTTGCAATAAAATTTTATTAATCTGGGATGCAAATACAAATTTATATATAACATTCAATTCTATTGCTATTATTCCCCAACTGCTCTTTAAACTCTCAAAACATAATTATAAGAACTATGTCACATATCACAAGAAAACAAAATTTCTGTAACCCTGTATGGTGATGGACAGTAACTAGACTTACTGTGGTGATCATTTCACAATATATGTAAATATTGAATCATTATGTTGTATACCTGAAACTAATATAATATTATTCATCATTACATATCAATTAAATTTTTTTAAAAAAGAACTCATGTGACATTAACACAATTCAGAAATAAAATGAACTTAGTCAAACATTCCTACAAATGAAAACACCCCACAGAGAACAGCAAATTAAAGGGATTTCTTTGGGCCTTTTTCTAGGATCTCTACCCCCTACTCTCTCACCAGGCAGAGAATGAGACATATAATTTCTATTAGACTTTCAAAGTATTTTTAAAAAATTGTCTACTTCATTTACTTTAAGCTCCATTTTATTTGACTTATCTACTTTAAACTCCATTTGGAGAACTATTGGACTAGGAGACAGTTAAAACATTAGAAAAAAACAACAACATGTACTGTGAATCATAATATAAAGATATAATTTCCTGACACCAAAAAAACAAACAACCCAATTAAAATATGGGCAGAGGACATGAAGAGGCCTTTCTCTAAAGAGGACATACAAATGGCCAATAGGCATATGAAAAGGTGCTCAACTCACTAATTAGAGAAATGCAAATAAAAACCACAATGAGATACCACTCACTTCTGTCAGAATGGCTATTATCAATAAATCAACAAACAACAAGTGTTGGCAAGGATGTGGAGAAAAGGGAACCCTCATGCACTGTTGATAGGATTGCAGATTGGTGCAGCCACTATGGAAAACAGTATGGAGGTTCCTCAAAAAATTAAAAATAGAACTACCTTACGACCCAGCAATTCCATTCCTGAGTATCTATCCAAAAAAATCCAAAACACTGATTTGAAAAAATATATGCAACCCTATGTTTACTGCAGCACTATTCACAATAACCAACAGATGGAAACAACTGAAATGCTCATCATTAGAGAATTGGATAAAGAAACTGGTACATTTATACAATGGAGTATTACTCTACCATAAAAAAAAAATGAAATCTTACCATTTGCAACAACATGGGTGGGCCTAGAGAATACTACGCTAAGTGAAATAAGTTAGATTGAGAAAGACAAATACCATATGATCTCATTTATATGTGGAATCTAAAGAACTGAATAAATGAGCAAACAAAACAGAAATTGACTCATAGATACAGAGAAAAAACTGATGGGAGGGAGATTGAGGGATAGAGGAGAAGGTGGAGGGATTGGTAGTCACAAAATAGTCAAGAGGATGTGAGGTACAGTATGGGGAATATAATCAATAATGTTGTCAAGATTATGTAAGGTGCCAGACGGGTGCTGGACTTATCAGGGGGGTCACTTCTTAGATTGTGTAGATGCCTGAGCACTGCGCTGTACACCTGAAGCTGGAGTAGAATAAGACTGAATGTCAACTATAATTATTTATATATATATATATATATATATATATAGTCATGGGATATAAAGTACAGCATAGGGAATATATATGTAGTCAATGGAATTGTAATTATGTATGGTGTCAGATGAGCGGCAGACCTGAGGGGGTAAGCACTTTATCTAAACATTATGTTGTTTTGTACACCTGAAACTAATATAAAAATATATAAAATTAAATTTAAAAAAAGAAAAAAAATAGATAAAACTTCCTGTTCTTGTAATCCAATTTATTAAAAATTCTGCTTTCTTTCAAAGCTTCTGTTTCTGTTTTAAGACAAGGTTATTTATACTACCTTATTTTTCCTTTTCTATGAGATGGTTTCTTAATACATATTCCTAAATATATTCATTTAGTTAAATATTTAAAAAGCAGTAAGACTAACATTTTAGGATCTTAAAATATTGTTCCCATGAATCAAAAATACCCACAAAGAAAAATGTGTTCACAAAAAAAGAGAAACATTGTTAAAACAATGTATTAAGAGATTATAAAAATTAATCCATAATCCTGGACCATACTCCTGATCTTTAATGATTTTTATTAGGCCTAAATCTTACTTTAGACAGAAGTAAAAGCCTAACATTTACTTTAAACAGAACTATGCAATGAAAATTCTATCATTGAAAGGAAAAACACTATTTAGTCAAGTTACAGAAACTTTGTTTTCCAAAGTGCCTTGAAAATCTCTACCTAAAGGCAAGTGCTCAAGATATTTTTTCCAAAATTTTAATCTCAAGATTCACAATAGAGCCCTCTGAGTGAGCCCTCTTATTCTTTAGAGAATGACACACTTTGTAAGGTAGACTCTCAATTTTAACAGGATTTCATTACCTTAGTAGGTTTCTAGGGATTCGAATTTTGCTAGGACATTAACATCTCACAGAGTACTGTTTAAAGTATGGGACTGGAAATCTATGTATGGGAAATACTCCCAATATGTTAAACTAGTTTTGGAGAAGGCTCTCAAGACTATTCAAATAGATCTGTCATCTAACATATATCAACTTGGATAAAGAAGATTTTGATATCCCAATTAAGATTTCCCAAGAGAAAACAAAACAAAACTGTCTTGAAAGATAAAACCCAAGAGAATTTCATTTTATACCAAGAAAACAAGAGGCACGCTTCCTGAAAAAAGCTGAGAAAAATTTTACTTTCAGAAATACCCTTCTTTTGCAAAACTGCTGGATCCCAGAACATGGATGACCCATTTGCATGGGTGTGTCAGTTTCAATTGCACATGTATTATCAGTTGTTAAATTAGCACCCTACGGCAGGTTCCAAACTCTAAAAAGTTAAATGCAAGCTAAAATGTTTGCCTCTTGGAGAATTTGTATAACCTAGTAGGTGGATTGATTTCTCTAAATAAAATATATAAGGTGATGGAGTACAGTGAGAGGGATTAATGATTTGACTACCCACCTGCTTAGCTCTAGAAAATCATAGTTATCTTTCACACTCTAAATGATTCTTCAGAGAAGTTAAGATTTATTAGGATTAGTCTCATGACCTCTATGAACTAATAAATCATTGCCTGTGTGTTAGGGCAATTAGTTATCTTCTCTAACCCTACAATTCATTTTGGGAAGACTCTCTAGGAGAAATAGGGCTCTTTGTGCTTGCCTTTGAGTTTAAGGAAGGAGAGAGAAGTTACTGACAATCTTCACTAAGGGAAATTTGTGTCACATGATGCTGAAAATTAGAAAGGGGATCTCTTAATATCATGGGATCAACTTCTAACCAATTAGGATTGCCTGGTAAAACAAAAGTAATGTCTTTATTTCCCATTCATTCAAGAATATTTGTTGAGCATCGCCTATTCACTAGGCATTATGTTAGTGTTAGAAAAAATAATCCTGTCACATACAAGGTCTGACAATTAAGTTCGCAAACTCATCCCAGAAAAAGTGCTACATACCTCATTGCCAAATATCACTACGATTACCTTTGAAGTACTCCCCTTAGGAAGCTATGCACCAATGCCAGCACCTAGTCCACCATTCATAGTAATTTTGGCACTCTTTTTCTGGAATGGCCATCAGAGCTGTTGTATTACCCTTGATGTCCTGAATGTCATCAAAATGTCTTTCTTTCAGTATTTTCTTTATCTTTGGGTCAAGAAAGAAGTCATTGGGGGCCAGATCAGGTGAGTGGGGCGGGTGTCCCAATACAGTTATTTGTTAACTGGCTAAAAACTCCCTCACAGACAGTGCCGTGTGAGCTGGTGCATTGTCGTGATACAAGAGCCATGACTTGTTGGCGAAAAGTTCAGGTCATCTAACTTTTTCACGCAGTCTTTTCAGCACTTCCAAAGAGCCAACTTGGTTAACTGTTTGTCCAGTTGGTACCAATTCATAATGAATAATCCCTCTGATATTAAAAAATGTTAGCAACATCATTCTGACTGTAGATTGGATTGCTGGAACTTTTTTGGTCGTGGAGAATTGGCTGGCTTCCATTGTGCATAATGATGCTT